GTATTCGTGGTACAGCTCTAAACTGGTTCAGATCTTATCTCACTGATAGGAATCAAAGAGTATCATTGTTAAAAAAGACTTCGGATAAAGGTAATATTATACGGGGGGTCCCTCAGGGGTCAGTTCTTGGTCCGATTCTCTTCTTGATTTATATCAACGATATGGTCAGTCTAGATATTTCTGGACACCTAACTTTATTTGCAGATGATACCACGATTCTCTGGCATAACGAAGATCGAGCTAGTCTGGCTCAGTCAATTTCAGTGGACGTTGAAAAAATTAAAATTTGGTGTGAAGCTAATATGCTAACTCTGAATGTTTCTAAAACAAACTTAGTGACATTCAAGTCAGAAATTGAACAAATTGCTCTAGGAGATCAACTCATTGAGAGCAAGTCTGTCACGAAATTTCTTGGTGTTCACATAGATAACAATTTGAAGTTTGACCATCATATATCAGCTCTTAAGAAAAAAATATCAGCTGGCTGCTTCGCAGTCAATGTGATATCCCGTGAACTTGGATTGCAAGCTTCAATATCAGCATACTACTCACTTATTGAATCGCATCTACGGTATGGAATTTCATTCTGGGGGTGTAGCTGTCATGGTCTCTTAAATAGTGTTTTCGTCCTTCAAAAACGAGCTCTGAGATTTGTATTCAAACTCAAGCCGCGTGACTCATGCAGGCCAATGTTTCACAAATATAAGATATTGACGGTCTTTGAAATTTTCGTTTTAGAAACAGTCTGTTTGCTTCACAAATATAGAAGAAATTTCATGAACACAAACATAGACAAGATTACGCGTAATAAAAGGAACCTTGCTCTTCCTCTGCCTAGTTCATCTTTAACGAGACAATCCTTAATTTATAGGAGTAAAAAGATTTACAATCATTTACCAGAATGTACAGCTATGATCAATGATTTGAAACAATTCCGTAGATCTGTCAAAGATATGTTAGTGGGAAAAGGCTTGTACAGTTTGGATGAATACTTTGCCTACAAATTCTAGTCTTTCTATGATATGTGAGAATAATTAAAGATTCATATCATTGATTTTAAAGATAATTGTTGTTTGTGATAATAATGAAACTTGTCTATGTTATTTTATTTTATATATTTTTGTTCTGTATTATTTTTATATATCCCTGTTCTGTTGTATTTATTTATAATCTTGCAATCGATATATCGCAAGATACTGACTTTGTCGACAAAATGTGCTCATTTTAGACAATAAAGCTTATCTATCTATCTATCTATCTATTATATTGCTACCCTGTAAAAATCCCCATCATCCGGAAGTGAGGGTGTAACTAATAGTGACTGAACAGGTGCATATAGGTGGCCCAAATTTGAGTTTGGAAAATTAATTAGGATGTCCAAAGGGTCAGAGCTATTATGAGAAAAAGTGATATACAGGATGTCCTACGACGATTGAGACAGAGAATATCTCAGAACTAAAGAGTAGTAGGAAATTGTGATTTTGGGGTTGTCATTTCAAGCTATTGGTGATGTTATTCTTTTGAAGAAGATAATGAAATTCAGAACTCTCCCAGAATAGAACATAATTGTTTGACATATAGGTACAGGATTTTTTCCACTTCCGAGATGTAGGAGAAGAGGGAGAAAGTACAATACATTGGGTGAACACGAAATGATGTAGTTTACAATAATATATAATAATAAATTACACAAAAAGGGGTTTCATAACATTTGGAGAAAATCTTATATTTCACATGGCAGCAAATGTGTAGTGGTCGAATTAGAATAACCCCACGGTAAGTCCTGCCTGTCGTAGAAGGCGAGTGAAAGGACGCCAATAGGTGGAAGATGGTTAACACCATCGCCCGGTGCGATACCACCACATCAACCATAGGCACTGTGAAATGGGTATACTTACCCGTGTTTCAGTAGCTTGTTGATGTTTAGGCGAACTCAACCCAACCCAACCCGATTTTCTTTTCCTTCCACGCCAACCTCCCTTCTCTATACAGAATAAGCGATGATGAGTTCTCCTCAAGTAGAATTATCCGGAAGTAGAATACCTCTCCATTCGGATTTCTGGGCGAAAGGTGCTAGAGGGGGTTCACCATCGACTGAGAAAGTCCTCAAATACATCAACGATGTCCATCAACACCTTCAAATTGAAAAGCCAGAGATATTGGCTCTTACTGAGACACAGGTCAATTTATCCACCAATACGACCTATCTGCTCTGTCCTGGGTACGAACTCCACACACGTTTCAGATTCAATTGAGGTCTCTGCCTCTACTCTGATACGAATCTCTCATGTCAACAAGAAAAAAATTTGGAACCAAATGAGTTTGTTGTCTCTACTTATCACCAAATGATCCATCCTATAAAGAGCTCTTCGAATTCTTGTCTCTGAAGCTTGACCAAATTCAACAGAACCATCCAGCAGCAGGAATCATCATCATGGGCGATTTCAATGTACACAACACTCTTAGGCCCGGTTTCACCAATGGATCTAATCTCGGTTTTGGAGTTAACTGACAGATTTAATCGCCATTACTAATTCAAACCGTTTCACCATACCAGAATCACCGATTATCTCGATTAATCGGGATTATTTCTTAGCTGGCCATTTTTCACCAGTTACGGAATATAATCGCGCAATATCTGACATAAGTGTCAAATTTTAAAATGAAAAACAAGGTTATGTAGTTGCAGTTGTAGTTATATAGTGTTGTGGTCTTTTGTGATTGCTTGTGTATTGAAATTTTTGTTATATATGAGATAATGGCAGCTTTACATCGACTATATGACCTTGCTTTCGAAGACGATGAGGATGATGAATTTTTAGTGCGACGTGCCCGTTGGATACGGGAGAGAGAAGATTACTTCAACAGTTTAGATGATATAGATTTTGCAGTGAGATTTAGACTCTCAAAGGAAGCGGCTATCCAAGTTTTGGAATCTATAGAGGACCAACTGGAACACCCAAATGACCGGTAAGTATACCTATAATAGGTAAATAATAAATCATGAATTCAGTTTAATTCATCACATGTGTACCTTCCACTTCGTTGTTTCAGGAATAATTCAATCTCACCCATAAATCAGTTGTTGTGTACTTTGCGGTATTATGCTACTGGTTGTCATCAATTGACTGCCGGAGACTTTGGGGGTTTCAGCAAATCCACTGCACACAGAATAATTCACAGAGTCAGTACAGCTATAGCCACATTGCTGCCTCTGCATATCACCTTTCCAGACACCCAAGAGGAAAGGCGCAGGACACAAATAGACTTTTTTAGAATCGCTAGTTTTCCAAGAGTACTAGGTGCCATTGACTGTACTCATATCAAAATCCAAACTCCAGGTATGTGAAATTCACTTCTTCCCAATGTACTTCAAAATAACTATAAAATCTTTCTAGGAATTCTGTGTACCTATTGGTCACTTTATTATGTACTGATAAACAGATGAGAAACATTACAAACTGTATACTTTTTCTGTATGTTAATCCTGTATGACTTTAATTCAGGTGGATATTTTTTATAGGTGGACCTAATGCTGAGTTATTCCGCAATAGGAAGGGCTTTTTTTCTTTGAACGTTCAAGGAATATGTAATGCTAAACTAGAGTTCACAAATATTGTTGCAAGGTGGCCTGGAAGTACTCATGATTCCCACATTTTCAATAATTGTTATCGAAAAGTACTCTTTGATGATGGAATATATGGAGATGGTGTTCTTGTGGGGGACAGTGGTTATGCCTGCCAGAGCTACATGATGACTCTTTTTGATCACTGTGAAACTGCAGCTGAACAACTCTTTAATGAGTCTATCATTAGGACCAGAACTCCTGTTGAGAGATTATTTGGTGTTTGGAAAAGGCGTTTTCCTGTCTTGGCTTTGGGAATTAGAGTGAAGCTAGACGAAGTTTTTCCAATAATTGTGGCTACTGCAGTACTCCACAATATTTTGCGGCGCCGAGGGGAAGAAGTACCACCAGATGAGTTGGAGCTTCCTGCTCCATGGGATGTGCTTCTAGCCCAAGAGGATATAGAGCATGACCCTATGAGGCAAGGGCCTCCTAGACGGGAAAACCCGAATTTTCGTGAGAGACGTAACATTGTAAATCAGTACTTTACAAGGTTTGTTCTCTTATTAGTTCAGTGTGCTCCTCTTATAATAGGACTTCCTCTTGTTTTTTTCCTATTCACGGATATGAATTCTTTTTTTGCATGGAACAACTTGTATTGAATTTTCATGTTCATCTAAGAACAAAAAAATCAAGAGAGAATTCCAATTCAAGAGGCCCATTTTGTTGACTCACCATTTTGTTTAAAGGGGCTAATTGCTTTGTTTTTTTAAGACTTGTTGCAGTTGAGAGGCAACTGAGGGAGGCTGGAGAAGGAGCTGAATAAAATTCCCAAATGAAAACAAGTGTCTCCATGACAAAACAAAAAAAAATACGTGTATAATATTTTAATTGTTGCTATCAATTGTGAAAGTTAGATGAGTTAGACCTGAGACACTGTATACATTCTTTTGGAGCATATTTTATAATGTTTATACAAAAATTGTAGAACTAATTATATACATACATAGCGAAAAAGCCTTTTTTGATATTAAAAAAAACTAAGCTTTTGTCACCACAATTCTGAAACACCCTGTATAATAAAAGATAAAGAATGCAAAGAGATATATTCAAATATATTTATTGAAGAGCGACAAATATTCCACTTCAAAAACAACTTAACATTGCTGCAAACACCTATAAAGCTAGTAGGAACAACATAATAAGATAATTATTATAATATCACTTATTATGATCTTACACTTTCATTCAGATTCAAAACCTAATGATTGGTAATTCATAATCATATCTTTGGTAGCTTTGATCAAGTTGTATTCTTGTTCCTTTATGGGAAAAAAATAATATATATTCACAAATTCACATATTTGAAATAAATGGAAACAAAACATATTCTTCTCAAATATTCCTAAAAAAATGAAATCGCAACAGAATCTGGTGATCAGGTACAAAACATCATTTGCAAACAAATAAATAGCCCACATACCCAATAATACATAGTAGTTATTATTAAATCAAAGTTGATGTATTTTCTCAAGAACTATCACCTTCATCAGATCTTGGCAGCACACTATTCTTCCTCTTCAGAGTTTTAAGCTTTTCTTCCATGATCTGTGTTGCCAAACTTTCTTGTTTCATTTTTTCCTTGTATATCTCCATGATAATTCCATGCTGTTCGGCTGCATATTCATTAGCAGCTGAAAGAGCCTTTATTTTTGCATCTGCAAACTCCTCATTTTTTGTTTGAGATATGATTGGTCGTCTCCGACTTGTAGACAGGTGCCTTGTACTTGGGGATTTATCAGTGGACTTAGCAGAGCTTAAAGATTTAAATGAAGGCTTATTAGAGATTTCGAAAGCACTTGATGATTCAGAGGCTACTTTGGTGTTTGGTTTTTTATGGCGAGGGGTGGTGTCTGAAGCAGATGACACAGGCTGTGATGGGATTTCCAGAACATAGGTATTTGGTGATGAATCATCTCCATTTGTTTCAATTATGCATATCTGCTCAACATCCTCTTGAGAACATATGAATTGATCAATATCCACATCAGCATGTCCATTATTTACTGGACATATAGGAAACTTCCCTAATATTTTGGTTCGAGGTGTCCTCAACTTGGCAGATGAGTATGATGACCAATCTCCATTGATTGATTCCTCCTGAAATGATATATGGTTTGAAAACAAGCAATATCTAGGAAAAATAGAGTGATTCTCTACTTCTAATTTTACTTACATTTTGATAAATATTTTCATCTTGCACTCCATCAATTGATTCCTCCTGAAATAACATATCCTTTGAAAACAAGCAATATCTAGGAAAATTGGGTGATTTTCTATTTCTCTACTTACATTTTGATAACTATTTTCATCTTGCACTGCATGTCCACCTTCCATATCATACTCACCTGTGAGAAAGGAAATGATCATTGTATATCTATAATATTCATAGTACTGAACAAAACATTACTCACCATTTGACATAAGTACATCATTATCAAATTTATTGTGCAGACCAATAGCCACAGGATAAAGGAGGGCCCTAACTTTCTCATAAACAGGTCACTCTTCAGGGCGGATATTAGTAAAAATTACTGGTGGTCCTCCACCTAGGACAGAATTACATGGGTGAATTCTGATAAGTTGCTCATACAAATTATTTGAATAAAGAACCCCATCAATTGAGCTTACCTGTTCTAACTCTGTTAACGTTTTCTTGTGTGATTAGTTTCTTGATTAATTTCTTCAGGTTCTCCCATGCATTTCTAAGAGTGGACCAAGTTCTAATCACATTTATGTTTTGAGAATTGAAATCCAAAGCAATTTCTTCCCATTCTTTGTTTTTGTGCTTCACACTAATAGCATCGGTTCGCTTGCTTTCGATAATGCTAAAACGAGCCTCAACTAAGTCCACCAGAAGAGATTTTTCTGCAATACTGAAATTGGTCTCTCTCTTTTTCCGCTCGCGCTCTTTCTTCTCAATCGAGAACTTATTTTTCAAATGGTCTTGTTTATCCATTCTTCAACTAATGAAAACACATTAAAAAAAACTAAAAAAGAACGAAAACAAACTTCTTATAATATAAACAAACTTGGGACCTTGGGAGGTTATAATAAGTAATAAGTCGTCAGTTGTCAAGAGGACTCACAGAACGTTAATTTTCTAGAAGATATTACTTATTCATGGTAATTCTACACTGTTGCCTTGTCAATTTTGAGTTTAGGTAAACGTGCCCTTGAAGAGATGATATGTACGTCAAGAAACGGCTATGATGATAATCGAGATTAAATCCTTCGTTTAACTTGAACGTAGCTTACCTGAACTGAGATTATTTCGCCACTGGTGAAACCGGGCCTTACAGAACGGATGAAGCTGGGCGACAAACCGAAGCTTTCACCATCACTCACGGCCTAGAGCAGCTTATCAATGCACCCACACGAATTCCCGATGCCAATAACCATTCAGCTAACATACTTGACTTATTCCTCACTAATAATCCAGCACCCTAGACCATAGATGTACGAGCTCAACTTGGCAATTCTGACCACACACTCATCTCCACAACCTGCCCATTTTTCATTACATCAACTGCTCCGGCACCCCCACGTCTTATATGGCATTACAATTCAGGAGACTGGGACGGTCTCCGCATGTTCTTCTTCGAGTTTCCTTGGCATTGAGGTTACTTTGACTCTGAGGACCCTTCACAGTGTGCTGCGGAAATATCCGAGATCATCATGCTCGGAATTGACACATGCATACCCCATTATTCGAAAATATAATCACCATCGAAACCCTTGTTCAACAAAAACTGTTCTAGAACTGTTGCCTTGAAACAAACAGCTTACCATCGCTGGCGCAAAAACCCTTACCTCTCAACTAGAGCAGAATACGTTGATGCCAGGAATAACTGCAGCCAAACAATAGATGCTCCGAAAGAAACATACAATGCCAAGATAAGATCGAAACTCATAGATTGTCCCAATGGCTCCAGTTCGTTTTGGTCCCTTGCTGAAGCGGTCGGAAGAAATTTCACTAATAGTTCATTTCCACCACTGTCCAAATCGGACGGCACATTAGCAAAAATATCGCAGGAAAAAGCAAATATGTTTGCAGAGATGTTCGCAGCAAACTCTACTTCAGATTCCCAAAGAAAAGTACCGCCAAACATTCCATCCGTTGAGAGGCGAATGCCCGAAATCGTCTTCCGTCAACGCACTATCAGACGAACATTGGTTGGTCTCGAAACGAATAAGGCTAACGGTCCTGATGGAATTCCACCCATCATCCTCACAAAATGTGCACTAGAATTAACACCGATTCTCTGCAAGTTGTTTGTCGTCTCGTACAGGTCGGGTATTTTTCCATCATGCGAGAAGACAGCTAGAGTCCAACCAATCCCAAAAAAAGGGAACAAGACCCTGCCCAACAACTACAGGCCCATTGCCCTGTTATCAGTAATCTCCAAAGTGATAGAGGAAGCCATCAATATTGAGCTTATCAAATATCTGGACAGCTCAGGAATCATCAATGATAGACAATACGGCTTTCGCCACCGAAGATCTACTGGAGATCTACTTGCCTACGTCACCCATTTATGGCAAGCTTCATTATAAAAACACGGGGAATCTCTAGCTGTCGCGTTGAACATATCGAACGCATTCGACCGTGTTTGGTACGAAGGACTCCTCCACAAACTACCATCATACGGCTTACCACCTCAGCTATGCCATCTCTTATCGAGTTTTCTTTCAGGCAGATCGCTTCACGTGGTGGTAGAAGGTGTATCGTCTGATACCATTGGCATCAATTCCGACGTTCCACAAGGATCAATTTTGGCACCAACATTATTCCTTCTTCATATCAATGATCTTTTGGGAGTAATAACTTGCCCCATCCACAGCTTTGCAGATGATAGTACCCTCCATACTGCGTTCTCTTCCAGAATCCTCATTTCTTCCCAGGAAACTAAGAACTCTCGGCGCAGGCAGGCCAATGCTGTCAATGAAGACCTAGTTGAATTTAACGCCACCAAAACTCAAGCCTGTATTTTCTCTAGAAAGGCGGAACTCAGTATGCCCGATATTGTAATGTCTGGTACCACCATCCCCACCAAGCCCACCATATCTATGCTTGGTATTTCCATCAGCAACACTCTATCATTGGATAATCTTGTCAGATCCATCGCAAAAGCTGCTTCACAATAACTCGGATTCTTGTTCCGTGCGAGAAGCTACTTTACACCTCAACAGCTTCTCATGATCTACAAAGCGCAGATACGGCCTGTTCTAGAATACTGTTCCCACATATGGGGCTCAGCACCAAAACATACGCTGATGCTCTTAGATTCCATCCAGAGAAGAGCCATTCGCCTGGTGGGTGACGCCTTACTCACTTTGACATCATTGGAACACCGTAGAAAGGTCGGCGACCTTTCACTTTTCTATCGATACTGCCACGGGAAATGTTCTTCGGAAATCTCTGCTATCATCGCTTCACTAGCAATACCAGAACGGCTAGGCTCTGGAATTCATTGCCTGAGGAAGTATTCCCAACAACATATAATCTCCAGAAGTTCAAAAAAAATCCAGTACCTACCTCCTGCCCCTATCCTCCCTAGGAACACACGATGTTGTCTGAACATTATAGGGATTTCGTTTCGTGCGCTCCAAGCGATAAAAAAAGAATGACTGCCTCGGCTGAATTCCTAGTCTCGTTACGCTATGAACTATCAGCCGCGACAGTCAATCTACTACCTTGCTGCCTAGTGTAACAAATAAATATTTTCTGAAATCGCAATCAACATGTCATTCACTGTCTAATAGGTATTCACAGACACCGGCAGATGCCAGTCAAACAATCACCAGATCATCTTCGGTTAGGGTAAGTTCGTTGCTTAGCAATAGACTAAAGTACAAGATCATCGTATTTTGGTGTTCGAAGTTGCTATGAGAAAGTATGCTTTCCTGACCTATTTTGGAAAAAACTACTTGTCGTGTATTTTTGATGAACTCAATCCATATATGCAATTGAAACATTGATTTGTTCGTCGACAATAGTCAGTGCGCAGCATTTCAGTCCATTCCGAATATTTCTCACATTCTTGATACATTTTTTGAAGATATTCTGATCACCTATGTGAATCTGTGACGATAATTATGATTACAAAAAACCAAAACTTGATGATCGAACTTTTCCTATAAATTCTCGCGACAGTTCATTCACAGCAATCGATATATACGTGTCAGGTGTTAGTCGGATCGTGGCATTAGTGAGCTCATAGCGGTTGAGGAAAAAATACCTTAGTTCTGGCTAAATCTAAGATGTTCACGTTCACGAGGCAAGAGAAGATTGCGATCTTGAAAAGGTAATTGTTACAATTTTTGCATAAAATAATCTTTCAATCAAAATGGAACCTCGTTATCTCACTAACATCACATCTCATAACATTTTTGAACTGACTGAGCACTGAGCAGTGAGTCTCCTTCCTGCTAAAAGCGGAGACACGTTCCAACTACGAAGTGGCGACGAATCAATGTAGAGTAGTCTAGTTGAATACTTGATCATCCATCGCATGTATCTATCAAATTTCGAGCTGGTCGATTGGTTTGACTACATCTCTTTCTAATACATTGAAAATCAAAACAAAACTCGTCCGCCATGTTGGATCTTCCATTTCAATAGATAATCGTAATCTTCGACCCCAAAAACACTGAGATACAAAATTTGAATAGATTCAGATCATAATTTCAAGAGTTTTGTCCGCGATATTGGGTCCGCCATCTTGAATTTACCAACTGCTTTCACGGGGGAATCATATTCTCCGACCTTGGAAACACATTTTGAATATAATCGGATCATAATGACAAAGCTTGTTCGCCATTTTGTAGCCACCATTCTGTTTCTTTGTCTAACAAAGATTTTATGATGCATTGCCACCAGTATTATGAACACCTGGCTAATTTCAAATCAATCGGTCCGTTTAAGTCGGCCAACAAAATCGAGTCCAAAGTAGTCGGTTACATGCATACAAACAGATGAAGCTAATAAAAGCGTGTTAAAAAAATGACTGCAGGATCAGACTTGACTTTCAGGAAGATACTCGCGAAACTCAAACTATAATATGATTTTTGAAAGAAATCAGTGTGCCTTTGTGAACATGTGGAAACATTGTACCAGCAACCCTCAGAAGTCTTCGAGAGTTTTGTGCGAGCAAGAAATGACGGGGGCCTTACTTACACTCAACGTGTGATCCCAAACACCTTCTTGGGCCATCAGAAAAATGTCTGCAGTCGCTGGGAATTTAACCCACGACCGGCAAGCGAATACGGATTAGAATACTGACACTCTGTCCGCACGGCTACCTGGCCTCAACTATATCTGATTCATTCGTTTCTTACCTAAATTTCAAAATGATGATAAAAGAGGTCCTCACTTTCGACAGGACGGGGCATCTCCACAGTTTATTTATTTATTTATTTATTTATTTATTTATTTATTTATTTATTTATTTATTTATTTATTTATTTATTTATTTATTTATTTATTTATTTATTTATTTATTTATTTATTTATTTTTTTATTTATTTTTTTATTTATTCATTTATTTATTTATTTATTTATTTATTTATTTATTTATTTATTTATTTATTTATTTATTTATTTATTTATTTATTTATTTATTTATTCATTTATTTATTTATTTATTTACTTATTCATTTATTTATTTATTTATTTATTTATTTATTTATTTATTTATTTATTTATTTATTTATTTATTTATTTATTTATTTATTTATTTATTTATTTATTTATTTATTTATTTATTTATTTATTTATTCATTTATTTATTTATTTATTTATTTATTTATTTATTTATTTATTTATTTATTTATTTATTTATTTATTTATTTATTTATTCATTTATTTATTTATTTATTTACTTATTTATTTATTTATTTATTTATTTATTTATTTATTTATTTATTTATTTATTTATTTATTTATTTATTTATTTA